TTATACTAAAAAATTTGTTTAAGAAGCAGTAAGAAAACCGTTCCAAACAAAGCCTAAATAACAACTGGACCTTACCAAACAATCAAAATATCACAAAAATAACTCTACAGCAGCCACCCCACCTATAGAACTACTAAAATCATAGCCATCCAAACATAACCCATCTCTCTCAACTCTTTAAGCAAAAATGTCTCCATCACAAGATAACTAAGAGCAGCTCTCTTTTATTAGATATATTGTAATGAACGGCTATGATTAAATCAAACTAGACCGTGTACAGGACTTATAGTCTGTTAGTCTATATATAGGATTGTACTCTATTCATAAGAGATAAGAAATAAAGATGAATTTCATTTTCTTGCTTTCGTCTCTGTGCTTCAGTTCCATCTTCATCTTTGTCATTGAAATAAACTACTGTAGATGAAGGGCTGTAATGAAGATAGATGATTTGAATACAATGTTTTTTTCTGCACTTTTTGTCTCTCCTATTCTTTTTATGTTTTGCTTCATTCTCATCCATTCCACATGGTATCAGATACTTACCTTGCCCTACAGCTTTCTCCTATGCAGTATGATTCAACAACCTTCTTTTTCCTCTAGCTATGTCCGAAGACTCCACCACCGAAAGCCAATCAATTGCGACAACCCAAAAAAAAAGAGCAATATTGCTACCCATTCTCAAAATTTTCTAATGTAGAATGTGAAAACATCATTATCACTAACTCACTACCAAAAACAATGTGAAATGAAGAAAATCAAGTTCTAGACTTTTCAGGAATGTGGCTATGAGGAATCCATAATGGCACAATGTCGTGCTCAAACAAATTCACTATTGCCAAAGATGGCAAACTAACACTAAAAGTTGTAATGTAGTGTTTGGATTACTGTGGATCAAAATATTGACACTACTCTGTATGCTACTATAGGCTCTTCACTACTCTTATATGCTATTCTTTAGATTCCTGTACAGAAATTTAGAAGATCATTGACCATCGATTGTAATATGCAAATCAGTCTTGTATCCTTCAGATAAAAATGAGCTTTATAATATCACAATGAAGGGTCAAATTATGGCACAATACCTTTCTAACATCAAAGCTAAATGCGATACTAGATCAAACTTAGATGCTGAAGATGTCATCCACTATACTCTCATCCATTTAACACATTCTCATCATGCATTCAAGACCGTCACTAATACAAATTTACAACCTCTCAATTTGGATGGTCTATACTCTTATTTTGTGAGGAGAACAATTTAGCTTAAGAAGCTACCCAAGAAATGCTTCTAAAAAATCATTCAAATCCATGAATTGTACTTGACAACACTAAACTACACAACAAAGTGCGCACATTCAATGTGGGAAGTGTTCTTTTTTATTTTGCAACAACATAATTGGCCGAAATTGAAATATCAAATTCAGAGGATATTGTTCTCATAACAAACTAATGATTTGTAAATCTATACATTGTATGAACTTATCTCATCCCACCACTGAATCCACTCTAAATGCTCTTGCTGCTACTACTCTAGCAATGTCAGTATATTAGGGCATCCCATGTTATTTGAATTCTTAGTAGCTATATAATGCTAAACATTATTGTATCAACTAACAAATTTGTAATCGAAAAATGACCAAGCTTAACCCATCTCTCATATTTGTGATGGTCTTCTCCCAACTACATGTCATAAGCTTCTCCTCACTCTTCTTCATCTTCAACATCAAGCATATAATCTATTATCCATTCAAAAACTAGCCACTGACAATTAATTCCTAGTCCTTGCTTTTTGATGTCTATGGCTATACCACAAAGGACCGGAAGAACAATCAAATCCAACTCCATGGTTTCAACTATAACGGCCTCTATCTGGTTCGTCCAAATCAAATTTTCCATTTACAACTGCATGCAACTACATTCTCTCCATTTGGTCTTCTTTTAATGTTTAGCATCCCAGGCGTGGGCATAGAAATGTCCAATTTCTAGAATGGCTAATGCTTGCCCTAGCTTATGTATTTCCACTAAAAATATCTAATGTATTTCTTGTTATCAAGCGAAGTAACATAATTCCTTTTCCTGTATCCCAAAGGATGGTAAAATTGTTTTACATTTGATACATTCAGATATTCAAAGTCTATTCCTGCTTGCTTCTAAAATAGTTTTTTGTTATTATGCATCATTTATTGATGTTGTTTTCTTTTTGTTGGATATACCACATGTAATCAAAATCTGAAGTTTTTTCTAACTTCATTCACTTCAAAGTTCAAGTTGAACATCAATTCAATTACTCCATAAGAAATTGCTTATTCGATAGAGATAATGAATACGCTAATATTAAATTTAAAAATTTACTCAACAAATGTAGCAATTTTCATCAACTTATTTGTTAAATCAACCCATTTCAAAAACCATCACCTTGTGAAAACTACTCATTCTAAATTTAATTTACTAATATGACGGTAAAAAAAAAATCAACATTTTTAATATCACTAGCTATGTTTTTTTTTTCACAATACAATAGCATACACATGTGAACAACCAAAATCTTAAAATCATGAATCTTACTCTTAAAAATATTTTTAAATGCTAAAATGGCGGCCATCTGATAACTTGGTTAGAAAAGTAGATGTATTAGATTTGGCTTATGCTAAGCAAGGTAGAGGTAAACAATAAAAGACTTTGTTAGAAAATATTAGAAATGACCCATTTTTATTAGATTTAAATGAAAATTTGACTCTTTTTTTTAGTAGAATTTCTACTCTACTAAATTTGACTCTTAATAGTAAACAATGAAGAAAAAGGATTCATGTAACCAACCCCACGTAATGGGATAAAGGCTTGATGATGATGATGATGTTGTTGTTTTATTTTTTAAATCTTCCCATCTAATTATAGATCCTACAAACTTCATTAATTGCTCGAAATTTATAGCCACTATGAATAATTTTAAAATTCTCTATCACTCTACCAACAAGTCCATTTAAATTTCATCCAATAAAAGCTCTTCTTCCAAAAGATATCTTTTTTATTAATTCTTCTAAGTCATTTTAAAATTTTAATTTGAACCTATATCAAAAACTACTTGAGAAGCATAAGCACTTATAGTATTAATAATCTTAGAATCACTACCAATCTATAAAACTATAATTTTATTTTCAATTCTATTAATTTCAATAATATCATTCATCAAAGTCTTATCTATAATTCCACCTATACCATTTTTCAGTATAACTCCTACTTTAATACCATAATTTAAATCCTAAAGTATCAATCAATTTTCCATTTCTCTAGCTCATTTAGCTTCTTGAATAAATAAGCTCATTTAGCTTCTTGAATAAATAAAATATTTATCTTCCTATGACTTATAATTTTTGTTAATTTTATTAATTTACTTATAAGAAAACCTATATTCCAGGTTTCTTTCCTAATTCTAGTTTTACGGATTAGCATATTTGCCTAATTTCGTCCATGTTGTGAGAACCCTTGCTCACTTAACACTGCATTAGGCACCAATGCAGCAGCAAGCAACCCCTGCACACTTTTCACAATATTTAGGTCATACAGCGTATCACTTTTCAAAAATTTCCTAGCATTAATATAATTTATTAAAAGATTCATGTCATGATTGATGGATAGATTTTACACTAGCTATTAATTATTTAACGCTACCCTCTAGAAAAGCTGTTGCCGAAAGAATATGTTAAAGAGGTGATAAGAATAACAAAATTGAGTGGGAGTGTCATAAAACGGTAGGTTCAAATTTGCCTTGAAAATAATCTAGACATTATAAAAAAAAAATTAAATACATAATCTAATCCAACGTGAGATTGAGCGACCATCTACTGTTAATCAGCTCTAAAATAAGCATGCAAATTCACTCTGTATGAAACGATCTAGAGGAAAATCTAAGGAAAAATTATGGAGGAATGTAACGCATTGGATGGTGACTATTGCAAAGAGGCATTATATGATATTAATAAAAGACACTAGGAGCTTTTAAATAGGCTTCATCACTGGTTAGAGGCAGGGCAAATTATTATGTCTGGTGTCCGGATTCGTCCGGATGCCAATCCAGATATGTCACGTCATCAAAATACATCAGAATTCAGTGTATTCGGGTGATGTGACACAAGCTTTACAGTATTCTCATATTTTTTCATTCGTGAGAAAGGCAACTATAGCTGAGATGTTAGCAATGTGGAGTATAGAAACAATTGCTTTAAATTGGTGGAGGTAAGGTAGAGAGAATAAACGCTATTTGTGAATCACCAAGCCATAAAGCTGATGCTTTCTGTTTAAATACACTTTTAATAGCTGTAAGAGTGCCTTCTACTTTTGGGTCAAGGATCATGCTTGCATATAAACAGATTTTTGCATCGTAATTCTATTTATAAGACGACAATTTTGCACATCATATCACTTGTTATCAGATATGCACTACACATGATAAACAAAGAAAGTTATAAAATCAAAAGCAACATAATTACAATTTTTATAATATTCAGCAAATTCACATCCAAAACGAATAAAATCATTGAAAACTTCTACTTTTGTTTCATCCTGATTAGTATTTTTTATTAGTGTCTCACACATTCAACAATCATGGTCAAACTATATCCTTATTATAATTCATAAGCTATATTTCGGCATAGCTAAGATTCGACGGACGATACAAACCGAATAAAAAATTTAGTTTTTACAAATTCTAACCATGAAGCTTCAGTTGACACAAACTAATTCAATCTAACTGTAACTAAGACTTGGATGGGGTCTTTGAGTATCATCTCAATCCCACCTAAACTAAGCATCATTCGGCTGATTTCATTGTTAAGACAAATTTTAAGGTCATTTAAGGAGAAAAAATCGTAATTTATCTGCAAGTTGAAAACCAACTAAAACTATCATTTTTGCAAGAGCTGATAGATCAAAACGTAAGACAAATAGCATGGAAGATTATGATGATATACAAATAAATTTATATATTAAAAATGACGCACCAATGCAAACACATAAAAAGCCTTTATTACAATGAGACAGTCTGACATGTACAAGGCCCAAATTCTCCTAGCATTGAAATCATTACAATGAGGTTTAAGCCACCATTCTATTTGAGAACTCCTGTAATATTAAGGATTTCAGAATTCCAATCATGAAAGGACAATTTATTCACATTGGCACCCTTAAATTGCAAAGGGAAAATCCACTCTTTAACATTGCTTTTAAACCACTTCATGTTTACATTTTCAAGATCCAAACCATCAATGTGCTCCATCATCATTCCTGAGGTGCTGTGGTTAACTAAATCCTGACATCCAGGTCTATAATCATACAATCCACCAGGATATTTTGTCCACCTTTTGTAAGTTATATTAACATTTTTGAATTTAATGTTACTCAGAATTCCATTTCTTGAACCAGACAAGAATACTCCATTTTCTGATACTGCAGATATATTTTCAAAGAGGATGTTAGAAATGAAACCAGATTTAGAAGTGGAATCCCTAGGGCATGTTGTGATGTAGATTGGCTCCGCTCTTCCCCACCATAAGGGATCATAGTATCTCGTGCTTATTTTGATGTTTGAGAAGATAACGTCACTGACATTTCCTGCAAAGATGTAAGTTTTTCATATGAGATTAGATGCAGAAGAAATAACAGAACAATAGCAAATATTTCATAAGCTGGTGATTACTCTTAGGTAAAGGCAGAGATATTCACCAAATGTATCGTAGACAATGCACTAATTCAGTGGACATATGCATGAATAATATATAGGGTTGATTATATGTAGGTCCTTGAGGTCTAGGGACGCTTCACAGTAATCTATAATTTTAAAAAATATATATTATACTTTGATCCATAATACTTTTTGTATTTTTATATTGGTCCTACTGATAAATGTGGATCTTCAAATAGTTCATTTTTAGCTATAAGTATTAGTTTTTTTTGTTAGTTTAGCACATGTTAGGCTAAAATTTGAGTGTGAGAATATTTTTTAAGAAAAATAGGAGGGGCATTTTGGCTAGACAACTGGCCCTTCCCCACCCTTTCTCTATAAGCTTGTTGTTACAACTTTGCACAAATCTATGCTTTGATGGCGGCCATATTAAATATTCTTTAAACTTTGAAGAATAATTTGAGAGAGACGAGGTAGGAGGCAGAAGAGAAGGAAAAGATATTTCTAATCTTTTGTTATCAATTATTTGTGTTATCAATAAAAAATATTTCCATAAAATGTGTTGTGTGTGGAAACAATTAGAGGTATTTTTAAATACTCTTCCAACTCAAAATGCTCATTATACATCGGATACCTTAATATAACTTGTCCTATATGAATGATATATGTCATGAAGTGATAAATCAAGGAAATTTCATGCCTCCAGAATAGAAAACAAGCATAACAAAAGAATTTATACCTCCATCACGAATTTGCATTCCGAGACCTCTATGTGATTCAAAGATTGTGATGTTGTCAAACAAGAACTTCTTGAAATCAAACCAGCTTGCACTTCCAAGCTTGATTGCACTAGATTTTGTGCGAATCCAACAATCCATTACTCTCAAATTATACACAGGCCCCGTTGAAGACTTGGGGCAAATAGCATCATCTCCTGTGTCGATATGACATCGTGTTATGATTGTATTGTTTGAATCCTCAATGTCAATCCCATCATTGTTTGGTGTGTTGAAATCTCCATATATTGCTATGTCATGAATCTTAGTGTCATCGCATCTTACTAAATGTAAACTGGATAAAGATGTAAAACACATGCACTCATATCTCTGTTGGAAGCTATAACTATCTCTACAAGCATTTAATACTAAGCAACAATACATGTAGTAGCATTTGAGCAAAAAAAACTTAACCTATTTTAATAGTTCTATCAATTTAACTCATAATCAATAACAATAACACAAGGAAAATGCTAGCTCAGAAAAAAAAAAAAAAAACTCTGTAAGCTTATTAATGATACCTAGCATTTTTCCCACGCTAATTTGAGATAGGATATGACATTAACACTAAGCTAGATGATAATATCCTATAGTTTTTGCGCATAAATTTAATAATAGAACCGTTCATCAAATATTTTTAATTAAATCTTAAAGTAGATAGTCTAACAAACATCCTAGTTCAGTTAATTAAGAATCAATAAACCAAATCAAGTAATACTAAAGGTACATATTAACATCCTAATGACTAATTAATTACTAGCTATCTTGGTTTTTTATATTAAATCAATTTAAAATTAATTTACTTAATAAAACTCAATTAACAGTTATTTATTGATATAAAAACATTGATTGGCAAAATTAAGCTCACATCCTCTCTTAACCACTAATGACCTTAAGTTAACATTCTTGTTGTTGATTTATTCTTAACAGTTTAAGTTACACATTATTTTAATTAATTAATCTATATTTAATAGGTATAATAAAAAATGGAAACATTCTAACACATTATTTTAATTAATTAATCTTATTTAATTGGTATAACAAAAAATGGAAACATTCTAAATAGCCTAAGTACTAAATAGCATTATTATAATTAAGGTATAAGTTAAAATTATAATTAATTGGTAATTTTTTATTTAGTTGATGAAAATCATTTCACATCCATAAAGTCAACTAATCCTCTAAGAATTGATTGAATTAATCTATAGACGTTCAAGCTGTTTAGGACTGTAAAATTATGCATAAGCTGGATTTAGAAGGATTTCCTAAAGCCAGGCCTACTAAAACCTACTGGCATCCAAAGCAACCTTAAGCCCTTCAATTTTAAGAAGCTACGTGTCAAAGTGCTAAGAAAGCAAAGCGTAAGATAAAAAAAAAAAAAAATTTTCTCATGAATTATTTGCATAAAGAGAGAGAGGTTACCAAAAGGTTAATGAATCAAATTGATAATTGATAATACAAATGCATAAAGCATTAATTTTTTTTCAAAGGCTCAAAAAATTTTATTTTTTAAACTATACAACAACAACAACAACATCAAGCCTTTATCCCACTACGTGGGGTCGGCTACATGAATCCTTTTTCTCCATTGTGTCCTATTAAAAGTCAAATTCTCGTTTAAATCTAATAAAGAAAGGTCATTCATAATATTTTCTAAACAAGTCTTTTTAGGTCTACCCCTACCTTTCTTAACATAAGTCAAATCTAATACCTCTACTCTCCTAACCGGGTCATCGCAAGGCCACCGTTTTATGTGACCAAACCATCTAAGGCGACTCTCTCTAATCTTATCTTCTACTGGAGCTACTCCAACCTTTTCACGTATATGCTCATTTCGTATCCTATCTCTAAGGGTAAAGCCACTCATCCACCTGAGCATCCTCATCTCTGCCACACTTAACTTAGTATTATGCTTCTCTTTTAATGGCCAACATTCGGCACCATAAAACATTGCAGGCCTCACTACCATCTTGTAGAATTTTCCCTTAAGTTAAAATGATTAGGGTTCAATTCACCTCCGGCGAACGGAGAATGAGCTGAGCCTGCCAGAAGGGGAGAACATGATGAGCGCGATATCTATATCGCAAAGAAAAGAGAGCTCATAAGCTTTCTTGATGAGGCCATTGAGTCGCTTCGAAAACGTCACTTGCCTATTTGTATTGTTCTCAATTTTCTTTATTTCCAACTTCACCTTACCCATTTATATATGTCTTTCTATAAAAAAAAGAAAATCACGTTTGGATAATAAATATCGCTTTTATGAGAAGAGCTGCCAAGATTAGAAATATTTCTATCAAAAGAAAAGAGAAAATAGAAAATATTGAAAAGAATGTAAGAAAGTGTAATAGGGATAAACTAGTGGGAAAGAAGCTTTGGAATTTATAGG